TGTCCATTAAAGATTACCAAGAAGAGAAGCAAAACGAAAACTCAAAGCGTCTACAGAGTAGACCAGATTACCCACCTAGATCAGAATGGTCTGTAAAAATATGGATGCTTTTCCCAGATACCCGATGTGCCTAAGAGACGTAAAAAGAGATCTTTACTTTACTTTTTATTCATGAATTTCTTCATTTTAATATGGTGTTGATATATTTCACATAGCTTTCGCAGGCTATTTCACTATTCTTGTATGCCTGTGTAATTATGTCTATATAAAGAATGGAACCCAGTCCAGTAATTGAAGCCTCTCTTATTGCTTGAGGGTTTCTCTTGGACATCTTCATTTCCTCAATCCCTCTATTTCCCATTGATGTGCCTGTTTTGTGATCTCAGTTATTCTCTCCTCGGTATGTGTCAAATCTAGCACCATCTCTTTTTGCCTCATTACTGTTGGTGTTTGTATTTGCCTGGACATTTGGCTTATTTCTGCATTCCAGGTGATATCCCTATTTCAATTCACCATTTTCCTCTGGTTAGTTTCTTTCGAATGCATTTAACTTTCGTTCCCTACATTTTGTCGTTCTTCAGCTTTATCTAGCATAAATGTAGCTGATGCGTGGCGATGAGTGTTTTAATGTATATACCTATGTTAAACTCATTGTCAGAATTACTATCTCAATAAGATGATTGTTATGTTACTTTGTGTGTGTGTGTATATATATATATATATATATATATATATATATATATATATATATATATATATATATATATATATATATATATATATATATATATAAATGTATATAAATGTATATATATATATATATATATATATATATTTATATATGTATATATATATATATATATATATATATATATATATATATATATATATATATATATATATATATATATGTGTTTGTGTGTTGCCTGACAGTCATGATTACTACTTAAATAAGTTGATTGTTCTGTTTGTGTGTGTGTGTGTGTGTGTGTGAGAGAGAGAGAGAGAGAGAGAGAGAGAGAGAGAGAGAGAGAGAGAGACGCTGTCCCCACAATGATGGTTGGCTTCAGTGATCTCCAGTACACTGTTTCTTACTTGGATGTGTACTCTCTCAGTCTGCTCCGGATTTATCTCTTCCTCTTGTGTCTTTGTCTACCTTTTGTAAATATGCCTTCAGTATTCCATTTTTTTTTCTTTTTTGCATCTGTGTTTTTTCCCAATCACCGTATTCAGATCATGCATATTACATTGGGTTTGTTTCCACAATTCCAGATTCACAATTCTTTTTTCTAGTTGCTTGTTAATTGTCCATGTTTTGACACCAGGCAGTAGGACATTGTAAATCTAACATTTCACAGCTCGTATTGTTAATGTGTCAATTTTTCTAGCTGTATTGTAGGACATTTCTACATTTATACTTTACTTCTGCCAACTTCTGTGATTACATATCGAATATATATTATATATATATATATATATATATATATATATATATATATATATATATATATATATATATATATATATATATATATATATATATATATATATATATATATATATATATATACATATATTTATATTTATATATGTATATATAAGCCTAGTGTTTTTGTGTCTTTCGCATACATCTTTTTATACACGTTCCCACATAGGGTAATTTCTCTATTATGTCAGTTTTTGTTGATAAATTCCTTCATATTTCATGTGTCTTTACCGTATAAATTGTGTTAGGTATCTAGCAAATATGGCATGTTAGAATATATCAGCATATGTTTCTTTCTCTACTATATATTGTCAGCATTTTAATAACAATCTAAAGATAAATTAGCATCCCAAATTAGTTATTGTCCACCACTTTCAACCTGCTCTGTAGACTTACATATGAATATAGTTCGCTACAAAAGTTAATTCTATTTAATATCGAAAAATGATTGTAAATAGGAAATGAGGGAGGCATTTTACGAAGCAGTTGTGTTTACGTCTATTCTCAGTTTCGGTAACGGGTAAGTAAGATAAGATTATTGAGCGAAATTAGGTGGTCAAAAGATTATGCAACACTTTTTGTACAATTTGAGGTTAATTTACCGGGAATGAAACTCATTTTTACAAACAGAGTAAACTACCAAAAAGGTGTTCTATCGATCTTTTATTTCCATCGTTTTTTTTTTTTTTTTTTAGTATTAATTTTTCCAGAAAGGGCACGGGTTTAATCATCACGAGCTTTTAGTGTTACACTTTTTAAAGAAATGGTTTATCAAAGCAACTAGCCGTAAAGTTCATTCTGTTCGAAATGATTGTTGTTTTTGGCATCTAATGATGTCTTCTTCACTTCTATGTTTGATATAAATTCTTCTTCTAGGAAATTGCAACACTGATGTGAAGAAACCAAACCAGACATGACGAGATATTATCCTATCCTATAATTTTAAACAACTAATTAACCGTCCCAGGAGCGTGACAGAAAAAACCCACTTAACTAATACTGAACTAAAACAGTCTACAGTGTTTTTGATAAACGTGTACTAGTTAAGGAAGTCAGAGTAAAAGGCCAAACTAAATCACCGTGGATAACTAGTGCAGTCCAAGAAACTATGAGAGAGCGGGAGGCGGCACATAAAAATAAAAACGTTACTGTCTATCACAAATTTATGAACAAAAAGTGCAATATGAAGCTCGTAAAAAAAAGAAAGATCACTTTAATAAATTAATTAAAGATAAAACAAACAATGCCGATATTTCGAAGGCTATTAATAAATTACCTAAAAAGATTGTTCAAATAAGCCAATACCTAATTTGCTAACTTGTGAAACGTTCAGTTCCTTTTTCAAATCAGAAATTGAGTATTCAAAGTCCTCAATACCAGATTTACGGTGTGACTTAAGACAAAAAGCATCATTCTGTGAGTAAAAAATGCACCAGGAATATTCCTCTAGAGATCCCACCATTGTTTGTTGCTAAAGTGTATAAATATCTCTCCAACCTCAAGCAAACAAACTCCTCTGGCTTAGACGGAATCGGTAATCGAATTCTACGATGTGCTGCAACAATCATTATTGACTACCTTACATTCAAATATAATCAGTGCCTTGCTAAGAACTACTTTTCATCAGCATTTAAAACTGACACAGTTTATCCTCTACTCAAACCTGGCTCAGCTGACAAACAGCTCGTTTGGCAGTTATAGACCTATTTCTCTACTGTCCTCGCTATCAAAACCATTGGAGAAACACATAAATAAAATAACGTTTAAGCATATCAATAACAATCTGAGCTGATGGCCGATCAGGATTAGGACCTAAGCACTCTTGCCCTTCTGCAATGACACAAATGACGAAAACATTGCACTTTCACATCAACAAAGGTTAAAATTGTGGTGCAGTTTTTGTAGTTTTTTAGAAAGCCTGCGATATAATTGATCAAGATATTCTAAATAACAAATTGAAAATATTGAAAACTACAATTTAGTCGAAATAATGCGATCATTTGAATATGATAGACAGCAAGTTGTATCCTTCAACAACCACGTGTCTGAATTCACACACTTAAATATAGACGTGACGCAGGAGTCGATTCTAGGTCCTCCACTAGTTGCCACGTATATTAACTAACTTCCATTACATCTTGCATGCGATTTATTTGCTGATGCCCGTACAATATATACTAGTAATGAGAATCGTAATGAGTTGGAGAGCTCTTTGCAGAAAGAAATAGACACTCTGTGTAAATGGAGCAATAGCAATCGCATGCAAATTAATACAAATAAAAACTAAGTCTGTGCTTTCAAATACAAGACAAAAGCTGCAAAACATTAGTATTGCACAAGCCAACACTTGAGCTATACATTGATAAATTACGTATTGGTAATGTAACGGAACACAAAACTTTAGGCCTCACAATTGACATGTTTGTGTCATAACTAAGTTAAATAGCACAAAAAGTATATCACCTTCATTAAATTCAGCATGTTCTAGACGAAAATGCAAGAAAAGTTATTTACGCGACCTACATCTAAACACATATTGCTCCACAGTTTGAGATTGTTGCGCCAAATCCAATGTTAAAACACCAAGTTCTTTTCAAAATCGGGCTTTACGCCTGGTTTCAGATTAGAAAATATTTTAAAAAAAAAATCTTTTTAAACATCTAAGTCTATTGCCATTTAGTCAAAGTTTAATTTTTAACAAGGCCAAATTTATTCATAAAAATATTATCTTAAAATACTCCAAAATACCGTAAATAATATCTAATCCTACAAACAGCAAGCGACTAAATTTATTACATATGCCTAAACCTGGAATATATTATTATAAAACCAATTTAGCGTACTTCCCTGCTCATTCGTGGAACCAACTTCCACTTGACCTAAAAAACTCTTTGTTCGTTCTTCTAATTCGATTATTTTTACAAATAATCGAGGTAGACGGTAACAACTAGTGTAACAAATAAAAACAAAATCTCAATCTCGCTTCAGGATGTAGAGATTTAATGTTGGGTTGATGATGGAACCCGTCATAATGAACATTCACTCAAGATATTTACGGCGATCTGCTCTGTTCTATCTATTTTTCTAAGAACAAGGACATTCCCAGAAAGGATACACTTATTTGATTTATCATTTCATATACACCATCTTTCTCTTTGTGTACTCAGTGCACAATCTTCGTCCAGTAGCACACTTCACTCATAGCCGTGTCAAATATTTAGAATCTCCTGGTTTCAAAAAACATTTAAAAAAAATTGTGATCCACCATTCATACATGGCTTATCCAGTCTAGCTGACAATATATGTACATCCCCCTAACCACGATCGCCTACATGCTAAACTATACAAACAGTCCATACTTGTCATATTAACCCCTCCCGGCTCCCCCGGATTACAGGTTCTTCGTAACGGTTGTGTGGGGTTGTCCTTGCTCAGTCAGTCAATAACTTCCTACTTCCTAGACAAGTCGAAACATTTGCTCTAGTGTCCTTGCTCAGTCAGTCATTTCCTAGACATGTCGAAACATTTACTCTACTGTCCTTGCTCAGTCAGTAACTTCCTAGACAAGTCTAAACATTTGCTCTACTGTCCTTGCTCAGTCAGTAACTTCCTAGACAAGTCGAAACATTTGCTCTACTGTCCTTGCTCAGTCAGCAACTTCCTAGACAAGTCGAAACATTTGCTCTACTGTCCTTGCTCAGTCAGTAACTTCCTAGACAAGTAGAAACATTTGCTATAGTGTCCATGCATGCTCAGTTGGTAACTTTCTAGACAAGTCGAAACATTTGCTCTAGTGTCCATGCTCAGTCAGTAACTTCCTAGACAAGTCGAAACATTTGCTCTAGTGTCCATGCTTAGTCAGTAACTCCCAAGCTAAAGAAGCGCAGTATGTTATAATAATGTACTGTCTGACTGTATCCGAAATATTCAAGACGGAGATGTTTTGTTCATGTCTGATAAAGAACCCATTATTAGCATACGAAGTTGACTTAAGCTGAGTTTAGTGAAGTTCTGAGAACCGATATCACAGGCATTTGAAACATTCCCATGATTGCACCCCCCCCCCCCCCACTTCCTTTCCACCCATCTTCAGCAGCCAGCGAAGAGTTTCAGTGGTACCAGTAGCAATCTGACTGTATGTCTTGGCTTTCCTCTGAGTGTGAGGCGTCGGTCAGTCAGCTGGTCGTTCTCCTTACACCTTTCTATTCATTCCGTGATATTTTAATTGTGGCTATGCACTTTGTACGCCCGCCTAAAGTACCCTTGACCATTTCTAGCTTGTAATCGTCAGTCTACCACTGAGTGGTACAGAACCAGCTGGTATTATGTTCGTTTCCCAACAAACTGCATAAAGCAGACAATGGATGCTATTTACACTGGACCTGTAAAGCGAAGCGCGCCACCCCTCCTAAGCTTGCTTTGCGAGTCACTCATAATCAGATGTGTGTGTGCAGCTAATTCCCAAGCCAGCGAAAGGCCGCAAGGGCCGCTCTAAACGCATTCTCAAACTAGTTCTTGTGACAACATATGTCAGAATGTGTTTCGCTAATGGTTGTCCATTTGTTTTGCTATGATATGAACTCTTATTCCACTTCTTTTTGCTGCTCACCATAGAAGCATCTGTATAAGTGCTCACATCGTCCTGATGGGCATTGTTATGATGCAACTGAAGCATTTCTGATTGTGCAGAGTCTTCTGGCCAGTCCCTGCACTCCAACCCATTATGATCAAAACGATACAAGAGGCTGACATCTGCAGAGCCGCTCTCACCAACTCATCTCCTCACCAAAACATTTTCAAGCCTACACACATTCCCAATTGTATCTTATCCTATGCCATTCAAGACCTCCATCTGTTCAGTCAGTTGAGGTGGTATGAAAATGTACTGATACGTTACCGTGACACAAGTGAATACAGTTCCAGCATGTGTGTTTGAACGAGTGAATACGCTATGACCCTCTAGCTGCGATATACTAAATAAAAAAAAAAAGCTCGTTTGCGCTACAGATGATCTGCATTTTCTTGTTACAACTAGCATTATTCAAATAGATGACAGTGTTGTGATCTTAGGATGTCTACGAAGAAACTTCTCACGAAAAGAACTGTCTGGCCACACAAGAAAAAGAAAACAATCTGCAGTTTTCTGCAACGAACGAACGACCAAACTTTATTTTCAAATGGTCACAAATTAGGCACGTCATCACGTCCTAATTCGGCTCTTCCAAAATCCCATCTTTCACATAGCAGTTGTATGTTATCAATAAAGCATGTTCTGTTTATGTAGTAATAGGCATATTATGAATATTAAGTCAAAAACAAAAGCATGGATTTAAAATACATGCGCACGCTCACGCGCACACACACACACACAGATAGGCACACATTCACTCACATTTCCACATACATACATGAATACATACACACACATACTTTCATACATACATACAAACATAAACACATAAATAATTCATACGCACATGCATACACACACACAAACACACGCACACACATACACACAGTGATACACACACACAGATACACCCTAAAAACACTCTAAGACACACACGCAAACAACCCTGATTCATACAGCCACACACACAGACACACACAGCGATACACACACACGCTTAACAGCACACAGACATAAACCAAAACAAACACACTGTCACATACCGCTTCTGTCACGTGCCTGATTTAAGGATTTCTCCTTAAGAACCAACAACACTCTGAAATAATAATGTTGAGTCGTTGGCTCGTATTGGACTAAAGGTTATCGCGTGGCCAATATACGCTCAACTTATTTCAGGGGTAGGGCAGCTCAAGCTTTGGCAGTCTAAAATGTATAATATTTCTAGGCACACTGGGCTGGACACCCCCACTACTATAAAAAGGTAGCCCTCAGGTTATGATAGTATACTATCATAGCCATGTTAACACAGATTACACTTATTACTTCACACAAACATAAAAGCTAGACAGTTAGAATGGTGAAACAGGGACACCCAAGTCAGCCATGAAAATTGCTGCATGTAATAAGTTCAATATATATACATATATAAATGAATAGATAATCAAAAGTGTTCAGTGAATGGAGTTCATGAATTAATGACACAGTTAACACATATTACACTTATTACTCACACAAACATAAAAGCTAGACAGTTAGAATGGTGAAACAGGGACACCAAAGTCAGCCATGAAAATTGCTGCATGTAATAAGTTCAATATATATACATATAAAAATGAATAGATAATCAAAAGTGTTTAGTGAATGGAGTTCAGGAATTAATGACACAACCCAGATGTTGAAGCAGCAAGATGTAGTTCCTGGACATTACATGAGTTCATCATTGGAAATCAAAGGGAGCTGTATGAAGAAAGAATGTATGTGATTAAGAGATCACTTATCCCAGTTCGTAGGTCACTGCTTTCCTCAGTCAATGGTGATACGACTGTGGTTGACTCAATAGATAGCTATGCCTCAGTTTGATCTGGTACACGCTGACTGTCTTACTTGTGAGGACACAGGAACTGCATAGGAGCCCAACAAAGCTCTTGATGACTGATTCTCTGGATTGATGACATAGGTATCTGCAATTGTCTACTAGTCCTGGAACTCACATACAAGTCCCTGCCATGTTGAGGTAGTGGCAACAATAGGTAGGACTTTTGGGTATGCTTGGTGGCCAGAATGTCTCCTTTCATGTTATCTGTCTGTAAATTAGTACACCAGATAGAAGACAAGGTATATAGTTAAGATAGATAGACACTACCACACATAGATCATCCTCTCTCCACCCTCACATCTGCACTTGCAGACATACAATGTATCCCGTTAGTACCTATATATATATATATATATATATATATATATATATATATATATATATATATATATATATATATATATATATATATATAAATATATATATATCACGTCTCCACAGGCTGCTAACTACACACCCAATGTTTCTGTGCCAAACACACCTTTGACTCAGAGCGTCTAGCTCTGACGTCAATGCGTCTAGCCGGTTAAAAGATGACCCAGATTCAATGTTTTTGCTATGAGGCACAAAACTTCGTTTGTCTGGTCAAGAATAATTACTTGAAAGGTTTAATGTCTTTACAAATGGTGTGGGTTATGTAGAGCACAAACTATTTAGTCTGCACAGAAAAAGGTTTAATGTTCGGAGCCTGATCTCTGGACATCAAGAACGGCGATCACACAGATGAATCTTTCCTCTCTGCAGGAGTGGCCAACTTTAAAAAGACATATATTATGGTACTCGTAAGCTATAATCAAATTACCCAAGCTTAGGAATTTTGTAAAGATAAACTGGTACTTTGAATGCGCCAATTTTATTCATAAACTGTATAAACGTCTTAACACTTTGGAGATCAGGCTAAAGAATGCCGCTCAAAACCCCCGCTAGCGTCTCTAGGAAAGAAGTCCCTGTATTTATGCCCAAGGAGTAAACAGGCTTACAGGCATTTCTGAATTATACACCAGAAACATTCATCCCACAGTTGCAAGTTTGAAAATTTAGACTTCTCAAAGCAACTAGAGGGTCTAGAAATGTTCATTTCACCAGATAGAGGTATATATCAATATACGGGACTATATACCCCCCTCCCCCATTCGGGTTTAAGTTTGAAATGTGACGTGCCCGCTTAGGGAAGTCAGCGTCACGACTCGTCTATCGTGTAGGGTTGGCTGTTAATTCCACGACACACACAGACGCAGCCACATGCACACAGACATGCACATACACAAACGCAGGCACGGACACACACAGAAAAAAACACACACAGACACACACAGGGACATATGCAACACCCACACATACACGGACACACAGACTCGCATTCAGTAACACACGCAGACACACATACGTACACAGGCATACATGCAGACATACAAACCTACGCAAACAGAGACACACGCACATACATTATCAAATAGACATATGCTTAGAGATACGTGCAGATGTGTGTGTTATCCATCAAGATGATGATAACCACACTTTTTCATCAAGTATGAGTACGAAGATGACCGATGAGGCCGATGCGGGCCCGAAAAGTTATTTGACAGTAAGGACAGGTATTGAAGATACAGATACTGATACACAGATACAGATACACCCAAAGCCAAACAAAGACACACAAAGGTACTGCCACACACAGATTCACACGCAGCCACAGTCACACAGACCCACATAAAGACACTTAATGACACACACAGACACAAACACGCATACACACACATACTGACATATATATACACACATACTGAGGCACACACACATACAAACACACCCACAGACGCATAACACACACACACAGATACACACGCAGACATACGCACCGACACAAACATACAGACACACACAAAGAGACACACACAACACTCGAACAGACACACCGACGCAGACACACACATACACACACAGAGAGACACAAGCACACATGTACATTATCATAGAGAGAGACACACACACATACAGAGAGACACAAGCACACATGTACATTATCATAGAGAGAGACACACACACACACAGACACAAGCACACATGTACATTATCATAGAGAGAGACACACACACACACAGACACAAGCACACATGTACATTATCATAGAGAGAGACACACACACACACAGACACAAGCACACATGTACATTATCATAGAGAGAGACACACACACACACACAGACACAAGCACACAT